GCGGCGGAGTTAAAAGCTGATTTCCCACCAATAAAGAAGGACTACATTTTAAGACACACAAAAAAATATTCCTAAAAGAAAACGAAACTGATTGAAATAATATACAGAAAAAGAAAGAAGAAAGAAAATAGATCCAGGGGATATAGAGACTAGACAATAGTTCTAAAACCCTATAAAAGAAGAAAGAAGAAGAGTTGAAAGCCTCGGCGGATTCCATGAAAATTTTTATGTTTTTTTTTCTCGTTGGGTAATTACTAGAGGCTCAAAGGGTTGTATGGGTGAGTTTTTGGTGTAGTTTAGAGGTTTTAGGAGGAGTTTTTGGCGTGATTTAGGGAATTTGGGTAGAGTTTTTAGCGTATTTTTAGAGAATTTAGAAAAGAGTTTTTAAGTGTGTTTTCTTAGTGGTTTGTGTGATTTAGGGAAACATAACAAGCTGGAAGTTATTTTTTTGGGGACATAATATTGTATTCTTTTCCGTTTGTCTCTGAATTTATCTGTTTTAATATGAATAATATCACATTATCAGCGAAGAAATGGATACTTGTTCTCTAATCTAATTTTTACCCTCGCATGTCATGTCATGGTATATCATTTCTAATATCAACTTGGAAATGTAATTCAGAGTTGAAAAGTCGGAAAAAATTTACCTTTCTATTCACATTTTAGTAATTTTTGGTAATTTCTTTTATAAGGCAAAAGCTCTATAGACATTCACCTTCTATGCACTTCTGTCGCCAAAAAAAAAAATGATAATAATTAAAAAAAAAGTATTTGGTGCACAAGTGTGTGAGAATTTGAAGAGAAAAATACCCAGGATTTATCTGTTTTTAAAGATCAAGTGACATTTTGTAGCTATTTCTGTAAGTCAGATATTAATACGGGATTTCACATAATCCAGATCCCCGTGATAATCGTACAATGAGTCCTAACCAACAAACCAACATAACTAACCTAACATAGCTATAGCCTAGACTAACCTAGCCCTAACCTAACCTAGCCTAACCCTGTGGGATTTATACCTACGATCTATCTATTCCCTAGCCAGGTGGGCTCTGCCCCCTGGACCCCCATGGTATTAAATGCCGCCTAGCCAGGGGGCTACGCCCATGGGACCCCCGTAGTAATTATACCACAGACCTTTATAAAACGAAAAACCGAACTATTGTGAGCCTTCCGTCCAGAGTCAGAATTGATGAGTTTTATCACTTTTTTCGGCATTTGGGGCCGCACTTGTTGGGCCAAATATCAGGCTTGTGATCTGAGAATAATAATGTCTATTTGTCCTGTATATCCACAATATGTTTAAAAATAAACCCGATGTCGACACAGCAATTGAATGAAACATTTTTCACCGGTGTTTCTGAGCGAATGGCGGTGGAATTATTCTAGGTATCGCCAGGATTAACGTCAATAGGTTGTTATTGTGTTTTATGACATCACTGTTATTGATATTTATTGCACGATGTTGGGAATGGGAGTTATCATCTTTACATATTAGCATGTTTAATTTTTATTCTGTCATTTTCAGGATCTGAAAATACAGTCGAGGAATTGACACAAGTGGAGTTCATGAAATGTATGAATTGTGTTGATGGCTTTATTATTCTGAATTATGTGTTAAAGTTGTATTTATTGCCTTTGGTTTATTTTGCTGGTTTACAGTATTTGTCTACCATTTTATTTATTTATTTATTTTTTTCTGATTTTTTGCATTATAATGGTTGATAAAAGAAGAATATTACTTTGCTTTGGAAGTTATTGATTTATTGTATTATTAATCATGTGAACAATGTATTATTAGAAATGCCATTGTAACTTCTAAAGCTGTTTTAATTTTACCTGAATTAATGTATTTTGAACATTGTTACTTCAGAAGTGATTGCTGATTTGATGTTTGTAGACACTTTCTCTTACAATAAATAACAGGTTCATGTAAATTAATAGATATGGCACAGTGCTACTTTGAAGATCAGATTAAGAGTAAAGTATTTATATTGCAGTTATAGTAGTCATCCAGCATAGCACTGCATCAAGCAACACCATGGCCCATGTGCTGTGAACTTCAGCAAAGGTCAGCGAATCTGCTACTCTTTTCTGGTAAGTATGGGCCTGAACTGAATCATTATTTGAAGATTAATGACAAAGGAACTCTATAGATATCATATTTTAAGAATAAAAATGGTTTGCAGTTGTTAGACATTGTCAGAGCAGGAAGGTGAATTCCACAGCATCTCTTGATGTGTTGATTTTGAAGTCTTTGGAAATTGATTGTAGTTTATTTCTACTTTTCACAGATGACTTTTATATGTAATAATGATAAATATATTTTCCTTTTTTTTTTTTGTTAAGTCCTGTTGTGGAACATTACTTCAGTTCTAAAATCATCATTGCTTTCTTATCATGATGGTGTCAGTGAATAAAAGAATTTAAATGTTTCAGGTGTTGAAAGGAAGGAGAGCCTTTAGTCTACGAGATGTCGAATAATACCAGAGGAGGAGGGCGAGGGGGTGGTGGAGGAGGAGGGGGAGGAGGAGGATGGAGAGGCAGAGGAAGTGGTGGAGGATGGAGGGGAAGAGGTGGATGGAGAGGAGGTGGAGGAGGGTGGAAAGGAGGAGGAGGAGGCTGGAGGGGAGGAGGAGGAGGAGGAGGAGGAGGAGGATGGAGGGGAGGCGGAGGAAACTGGCGAGGGAACAACAGAATGCAAGGTACCGTAAGATGCTCAGATTTTACATTTACATTAATTGAGAAATAGTTATGGTTTACACACTAATGTTACAAAATTACTATCACTATACAAGATGGGCATGAATATTATCTTCCATTAAAAAAAAAATAAATCTTCCTCTACAGGTGGGGGTATGATGCCTCCACCAAGTTCTCAGAGCTCACAGAACAACACTCTGATGAGGGCTGGGTCGTCACAACCACAGATCACGACTATGCTACCAGCTGTTCCTACACCATATAAGGGTTGGCACCTCTACATGAATGAAGGTATGTGTGGCATGGGCTTTATGATTTAGCATGTCTTTTATGGTTTATTGGTTGTAAGGATTTTTTTATTTCCTTCATTCAGTTAGGAAATTATTGGAAAATGTGAAAATAGGATTTACAATTTTACAAGTGCGATGATTAATTTTTATGTCTTTTTTCTTCTCATCAAGGTTATAGCGATGGTTCAGAGACAGTGACGTTTGTTCAGGCTTTTGAGGAGTATTTTTCAAGGCTGCGACCAACACTCCAGCGGTCAGAGATTGAGGACCGACGAGCCTTCCACGTTAATTTGAAGGTCCTTCTGGAGGATGGACCAGTAAAGGAAAAGATCCAGGAACTCTCTGATCTGGTACTAAACAGTCCTCAGAGGATCATATCATGCCTAGGCCTGGCACTGCATCAGGTGATTAGCCCTTTGACTCTGTATATACTTTTTGGGACTTCATGAAAAATCTCCATAAAGACATGAGTGCCGTCCAGATACATTTTACACTACCTATTAATTATGTCTGTATCTTTTAATTTTTCATATCTGACACTAAGATTCTTATTACTGGTAAGTAATGAGATGCATATTACTTAATTTACTGAGAAAAATCTGGAAAAATTATTTCATTAAAAGATTGTCTAATATAATATATAGAATGTGAAGTGCAGGGAAAGAGAGCAGAAAAGACAAAAGAGGAGATATAAGGAAGGAAGTAGAGGAGAGGAAAAATATTAGATGAAAGTTTACAAAATTAGTAAATAATATGAAAATCCAGCATTCTTATTTCCATCACCAGTAATAATGATTTATTACCTCTCAGCTCATGACCAAAGAAGTAGAGACAGAACTGCGAGAGGAAGCAGCGGAGGTGTTGGCCGCTGGAGGCGAGAGTGTTGATGAGGCTTCCCTGAAGGCCTTAGTTCCAGAAGCAGACTTGCCTCTCATCCATGCCAGGCTCGTCAACCACTGCAAGCTCACTCCGCTGAAAGTACTGAAAGCAAACTACTATGGTGAGACTGTAAAACATTTTTTTTATTCTTGTGTTAAAATTCATGTGTATTGTAATTGTCTCGTAGTAATCAAGGATATTCAGAGGTCTTTTTTTTTTTTTTTTCCCCCCTTAGTATGTTGTGTTATGTTCCTTGTGAAAGTCCTAGAAAATCTTTTTATTGATTTGTTATATGCCTTTATATTAGTTATATCTCATATACAAACAATCAGAGACTTTAAAAATAAAAAAGAAATCTAAAAAACAAAACATCACTTCCAGGTAAACTTGTCAGCATTAAAGGGACAGTGGTACGTGTTGGTAGCATAAAACCCTTATGTACCAGACTAGCTTTCACGTGCCTTGGGTGTAGCACAGTACATGGAGTTACTCAGACTGAGGGCCGCTATACCGTACCCTCACTGTGTCCTGTGCAGAACTGTAGGTCTCGTTCTTTTGTACCAGACCGCTCGCACAAGTTGACGCACACGGTGGATTGGCAGAGTTTCAGGTTGCAGGAGATTATCAGCGATGATCAGGTTAGTATAAAAGTGGATGTTGGAGGTGATTAGTTTTAATGAATATTATCTAGATGTATATTATTCAGTAAATAATTTAAAACATTGGACTTTTTTAACTGTTGTAAGGACATGTAAACTTACTTTAAAGATTTATGTTTTGAAAGCTTCTAAGCTGACTAGAGAAATGAACAGATTTATTAAAATCACAGTGAATGAAATTATTTATAAAATTAAGTAATTATCAGTTTCTATAAGCTTGATACTTCTTTGGTTCAATGAAAATATAAAATGAAGTAGCTATGGATGAGCTATATTACATTTCACAACAGGTTATATATCTCCTACTATCTTTCTATATATAGAGGGAAAAGATTTAATTCCTTACCATCACTCATCTCTTACAGAGGGAAGGAGGGCGCGTTCCACGAACTGTAGAATGTGAAGTGAGGGAAGACCTGGTCGACTCGTGCGTTCCTGGCGACATGATCACCATAACAGGGATTGTCAAGGTTAATTCCCCTTGATATGTTGAATTGAAGTGATGATTTTATCTTTAGCTGCCCTGATTTTTTTCTTTTCTTTTCTTTTTTATTATCATCATTTTTTTTTCAGCATGAAGGGGAAATTTTCTAGATATTTTACATGCCATCACAAAAGTGGAAATATTTATAAATAGCATGATTAGGATGACTGACAGCTTGACAAGGAATCTTTATTTAAGCCAATGGCCCCAGATGGCAAAAATGCATGCCATATCCACCTTAATTTAGTTTATTAACCCATTGCCGACAGGCATGCCATGCCCACTGTAAGATTACTTGTTTGATTGTTTTTACACATAGATGGCTACACTTGTACTAAATCACCAATGAGCCAGTTACGAGTACCACCTGTCTCTCCCGTTTACCCTTTTCTTTGATTTACGAAATATTTTACATTATTTTATTTTGCTGCTACTAATGTTAAAAAACATTATAAAAATTATAATGTTTATGATAAAAATAACACCATTGATATTCATGGCACTAATGAAAAATACGTTTTTCCCACCATTTCAAATCAGGCACTAACAGAATCATCTATGGGCAGATATTTCACAAAAAAATATAGAAAATAGGCACAGCATTTGCCTCATTTTTTTTTCATTTTCCCCGGCGGCAGTGGGTTAATTGTGTTTACACAGAGATGGCCCCACAAGTGCCTAGTCGCCAAAAAGTCAATTATGTCTTGCCTCTAGCCCTTGTTTATTCTTTTTCTTGATTTTGATAAATTCTTTTTTATTAGTTTATTATTATTTTTTATTAGTTTTTAATACATTATGATAATCATAATGTCAGTAGTAATGAAGATAGTATCAATATTAATAACATAAGAAAAAAAAATGTTCTGGTAAGTTTGAGGAATTGGGAAATCAGGCACAGTCACTAATTGACAACTTGGAGACTGAGCACTTGTGGAGTAATGTTTGTGCAATAAATTCACTAAAACTAAGCAAAACTTTTCTCTCTAGGTTAGTCAAAGTCAAGAAGGCAAGGGAAACAAAGGAGACAAATGCATGTTCATGTTATACATTGATGCCTCATCTGTAACAAATTGTAAATCAGGTGATGATGCTGCATCAGCTGTCGGGATTGAGTTCAGCATCAAGGACTATTATGCTATACAGGTAATTTCTCTTATATGCAAGCACTTGTAGATTATTTTGTTATTTTATATTTGTGTAATTGACACTATATCTATCTGTATCTTCATTTTGAGGCAGTAGAGCATACAAAAATACAGTGAATGTTACAGTATGATATTTTTTTTAATTGTTAAACAAGATTTTGTTTTATAAAGACAAGATATTGATGAAATCTGAACCTGTTTAACTCGACTTGTTATCTTTTGGAACAGGAAATTCAAGCAGAGGCCCAGCTTTTCAAACTTCTAGTTGGATCTCTATGCCCGGCTATATATGGGCACGAACTCGTCAAAGCTGGTCTCTTACTCTGCCTTTTCGGAGGGTGCTCCAAGACAGGGGGCGACCGCGTTCCAGTGAGAGGGGACCCACACATTCTTGTGGTGGGAGATCCTGGTCTTGGAAAGAGTCAGATGTTGCAGGCATGTTCAAATGTGGCTCCAAGAGGTTGGCTATTCCCTTTTCCCCTTTTATTAATTACCTTGTAATATTTCATATAAAAAAAAAGACAAAAACTATAGTCAGTTTTCCTGAGTATTATATTTTTTCTTCATGATTACTTAGATTATGATATCAACAGGGGTGTATGTCTGCGGAAATACCACCACAACGTCGGGCTTGACTGTAACCCTGAGTCGTGAAGGAGGGTCAGGAGATTATGCACTAGAGGGTGGAGCTCTTGTGATGGCTGACCAAGGAGTATGCTGTATCGATGAATTTGATAAGATGACGAACCAACACCAGGTAATGTGGGTCGTGATTTTTTTTTCAACTGGGAGAATTGTGTTGAAATTGCTGGCTCAATGTCGTGAATTGTTTAAGGATTTATTAGATGTTTGAATCTTATTTGAATTGCTTTTTTTTTTCTCTCTCTCCTTGCATTACTAGATTCTCCATTTTAGAAAGGAATTCAGCTACTTTTGTTCTAAATTTAGAGCTATTACCATAGGAAAATCATTATGTATTTTAGGCCCACATTTATAAACACAAACAAATATTTTTCCAGGCACTTTTAGAAGCAATGGAGCAGCAGAGTATAAGTATTGCCAAGGCCGGTATTGTGTGTTCCCTTCCGGCCAGGACATCTATTCTTGCTGCAGCTAACCCCATTGGTGGCCATTACAACAAGGCCAAGACAGTGTCAGAGAACCTCAAGATGAACAGTGCGTTGCTGTCCAGGTTTGACTTGGTCTTCATCCTGCTTGATAAGCCTGATGAGGTAAAGTACCGTTAACTTCAGTGTACCGATATCAGTCTTCAGCATAATGTTCTCATCTTGGTAGGAGCATAAACCACAAAAAGTAGACAGTTTTATGCACTGTCCATGTTATTAGAATATGATTTTCTAAGTATCATGTAGAAATTTTTAAAAAGTAAGAAATTAGTTTTGATATGTATGTATTTATATATTTTTCTTTTTAATTTGTAAGCATAAGTTGAGATTTCTGTTTAATAAAATTGAGGTTAAGTAGTAATGAAAGTGATGGCCAAGCTCTGGATTTCTGTTTTAAAAGTATTTATGTACCAGATATGAAAAGTGTCTATGTGTTACCTTAAATTGTAAGAGAATGGTTAATGGTAAATGCATTAAACAAATGCATATGCTAGACATCAATGGTCATATAGTACTGTGGTAAAGTATTTTGGTGAAAAGAAATCTTTATTAGAACAAAATGGCTTAGATTTCATCAGTCATGGTATTATATGATAATATGGTAGAAAAGGTAGAAAGTGGGGGAGTAATTTGGGTATGATATGGGTTGATAGAAGGGGTAAGGGTTAAAGACAAAGGGTGATTAGATCAAATGGAGGGTATTTATGCATAAGAGGAAGTAGAATAGGTTATCAATTGAAAATGTGGGGGACTCTGTCAGAATGGCTATAGGTTGGGGGGTCGGGGAAGAGAGAAGCAGGTAAGGAAAAGCAAGGGTATGGGCTTCAGAAAAGAAAGGGCAGGATACTGGGATCTATGGGAACATTACATGAGGAGCAAAGAGGTGGATTGGAGCATAACATTAGGTAGGAATGCATGAGGCGGGTCAGGTGTGACTTAGTCATAAATAGGTGAGGGTAGTTTCCAATAAATTATAATAGAAGGTATAATTCTTTCATAATATTATTTACTACATAATGTGAAATAATAATGGGGGTAAAAATCCCCATTCATCCCAATACATTCTTGATATTCATTGTGTTTCTTGGCAGGAACTTGACTGCCTGTTATCTGAGCACGTGATGGCCCTGCACAGTCGACTGGGCAAGCAGGCTAGTAATCTTGAGGGAGGTCGAGTGAGAAAGCAGGATCTCTTAGATTCTTCGAGTATCATTGACTCCGAGCAGCCTTTGAGGTATTTAGAAGTTAGATGTTTAATCTGAACCTATCTAATGAGTATGGACATTTGTGTTTCAATGTTGTATTTCTGTCTTCTGTTTAGTGAGTCTTTTATTATGAATGTAGTAAATTCATACTGATGTGCTTGTAAGATTTTACACATTTTCTAAGACGGTTACAAAAGTAAAATGTGACGCAAATAGTAATGAAAATCCTAACATTATTGCAGTGAAAGACTGAAGCATCGAAGTAGTGAACCTTTTGAACCCATTCCTCACCACCTCCTACGCAAGTACATTTGTTATGCAAGAAAGTATGTTCAACCGAAAATAACAAAAAATGCGGCAAAAATTATCCAGCAGTTCTATCTGGATCTCCGACAGCGCCATCAGAATGCCAACTCAACACCCATTACTACAAGACAGCTGGAGTCATTGATAAGGCTAACAGAGGTATATATTTCTTAGTTATTTCCTTTTTTTCATTTTTCTATTAATTTCTTTCTTTTTCTTCTTTCTCTCTCTCTCTCTCTCTCTCTCTCTTTCTCTTTCTCTTTCTCTTTCTCTTTCTCTTTCTCTTTCTCTTTCTCTTTCTCTTTCTCTTTCTCTTTCTCTCTCTCTCTCTCTCTCTCTTTCTTTCTTTCTTTCTTTTGACTGATTGATTTATGTATTTATACTCATGTCCATTGAGGAATATTAACTGAAATGTCATATTACCCTTTCAAGGCAAGAGCTAGGTGTGAACTGCGGGAGGAGGCCACTGAGGAAGATGCCAGGGATGTGGTGGAGGTCATGCGTTTCTCTATGATGGACACGTTCAGCGACGAGTTTGGTCTCCTGGACTTCAAGAGGTCGCAGCATGGGTCAGGGTCAAGCAATAGATCACAGGTAGTATTTTCTCTTTGTCTGGGTTTTTTTTATAGTTTCTGTTGGGAGTATGTTTGTCACTGTGATGAATGGAGTAAAATGCATGAAAGTATAAGGAAAATGGGTACAGGGAAGAGAAGTTACAGTCCGTATAAAATTTCATGGCATGTGAAAATGAAAAGGTCCTTAGTTGATAATTCAAGGAAGAATCAGGAAAATATATAGCGTCTTAGCAATGAAAAGACTTTAATGTATATGCAACACTTTTGAAAATGAGCTACAAACAAAAAATCATAAAATATTGTACAAGGGAAGTCATTTGGGAGATAAAAAAGGTAGACATTTTCCTGTTTTTGAAAAATGGTGGAATTGCTGAAGGAAAAAATGAGGATAAAAATATTGGATGTAATATTCTGCATAGGATTGTCTCAGTTACTATCAAGCAGTCTTTCTGCTACTTTTGTTGTTGTTGCTAAACATTGCTGTACATGCTCATGGTATACTTAACCCAATGCTGACAGGCATGACGTGTATGTATGTGCTATGCCCACTGAGTTACTTGTGTGATTGTTTTTACACATAGATGGCTACACTTCTAGTAAGTCACCAATGACCCAATTACGAGTACTGCTTGTCTTGCCTGTTTACCCTTTTCTTTGATTTACGAAAATATTTTGTTATCTTATTTTGCTGTTACTAATGTTATAATAATCGGGTTAAGAAAAAAATATCTATATATGATAAGTATAAAACACCATTGTGTTAATAATTTTGCATAGTATGTATCATAAATGTACAATACAACCAGTGGGATGTATGCATGTATGTATGTGAATATTGTGTTTTATTATGAAGGGCCAGTTGTTGAAAGAGGCATTTGAAGTAGACTTATGATAAGTAAATATTCAAATCAACTTGTTCTGGAATGTATTACATTTCACTTTAGTCATCTTATCTTAAAAAAGACATATTTTGAGTACAAATTGTTGCTAAAATTTCATGAGTAGTGAATCACAATTTAGATGCTTTGGTGTTAATTTTCCTCTCTTAATCTCTTTACGTAATACTTTGTTACATAATTTTAAAAAAATTAGCATGTATAAACCATTTTGCTACCATTTACAATAATTATCTTTTCAGATGAAGAAATTTGTTGCGGTCCTTCAACGCATGTCCGAAAGAACCTACAAGTCCATATTTACTATTGACGAGATGAAACAACTCGTAAAGCAAGCCAACATTAAAGTGAGGGATATAAATGATCTTATTGCAAGCCTGAATCATCAAGGATACTTGTTGAAGAAAGGTAGCAGGGTGTATCAGCTGCTTACGGCCGACTGCTAACGAGATTTCTGAGACTTTTTGATCTTTATCTGTTTTCTTTCAGTGGTAAATACTTTTTGTAAATAGTAATGGTTGTATGTTTATAATGAAATTGATAATGATGGCCATTGCAGTAGTTTTTTTCTGCATATTATCACATATCATTAGTAAAAAGGGTTTCATTCACAAAATCATTAATTACTAACATTATTATGCATCATTTTTGCTTTGCAGTAATGTTACAACTTTCAGATCATCTTTCCCTTTGCAGTCGATTCTTCTTTCATATCTCAAAAGATTACTCATATATCACTTGTGTTTGCATATTCTATTTTCATATGAATTAGTTTCATTATATTTTTTAATTAATAGAATATTTAAGTTAAATGATGGCACAGCATCAAAATACAGAATCTTTGGTAATACAGTTTAGATATTTGTTATTTATTACCTGCTCTGTGGAGACATTTAGTATAAAATACATAAACCTTTTTTGTTATAACATATCTTTTCTTTAAATGTAAATATTCAAGCATATGTTTTTTGACAATCATGTAAGGAAACGAACTTCACAAAGAAAATAAATATTTGTCATTTTATTTGGTGTCATATGTTTACAAATATACATTCACAAAAGGGAATAAGTTATTTGTATATATACAAAATTTTTACAATGAACTGACACATTTCTGAGGCTCATTAGAACTGCATCATTCCTGAAGATCCCATGAACTCCTTGTGTCTATGACGTGTTTATTTCACAATAAAATAATAATAATACTAGCTAAATAACCTGTATATCTGCTAGCATTCGTAGGCTTTCCGAGCCTGAGTTCTGAAGCTTTGCACTAGGATAAATCATTTACTTTAATGGCAAATCCCCAATACTAGTCTGTGTACTTTCGACATATTTAACTTTACGCCATGTTCACACATAAAGCAAATCAGTATCAGGAATGACTGCACCAAAGTATTTACGAATCCTCATGTAAGGCTGTATTTTGGCCTAAGTTACATTGTGGTTATGACTATCATGTATTGGAATGGAAAGATATGACAAGTTGCTCCAAAGATTGAAAAAACTGGTAAGCATAAAGCGCAGACATTTCATGTGGTTGTAAACTTTAGCTATGACTGAAACCTGATAAGGATCACATCATCTGCAAAAAAGGCGAGTGACACTTGCCAAGTTTCAAAGAAAAAAGAAAAAACAGAAGGAGGAAAAGAAAAGAAAAAAGAAAGAAAGAAAGAAAGAAAGAAAAAAAAAAAAACTATTGTCACAAGTTTAAATAGTTCCACTGCATCTGTATTGGCACTGGCTGACATGTTTCATAAATACTTCTGTTAGCTTACCTTTACATTTGTAAAAAATAACCTAGACTACTCTTAAATATAATGATATGGGGGCAAATTAAACTGACATGAATATCTTGTACCTTTGTTGTAAAGCCTGCTCAACAAATGACCCAATTTTTCAGGAATTGTATCCATGACAAAAACTTGTACCCACTGGCATCAAGAAGTCTACCACGGCCGTGATAATCACTTTGACGAGTACCGTTCAGGGAGAATCTGTTTGATGACCTTTTCAAACCCTCTCTCGAAAAACTCAAATCCACAACTCCAATCCCTTTTCTTTTTTTTTAAACTGTTTCCTTTCACATCTAATACATTATTTATTATATCTAAATTAAATGCCTTATATATATAAAAAAAAAGAAAAAAAAAGAAAAAAAATATCCTGGCAATATATTATGTTTTAACAAGTTACAGCCACAGCTCAGAAACTTTACTTAAAACATATAATGATAATGAAGATAAAATCAATGAAGTTAAAATACCCATAAAAAAAAATAATAATAACAATAAAAAAGAACATATCTATATTATAAACAGTAAAAGTAAAATAAATTCAACAGCTGATGCTACAAGTTTACATTAAGCATTAAAAGTCTCAGCATTAGAGTATGATGATATATGCAGTGTAATTCTTCCAATCAATGCTTAAAAAAGAAAAAAAAAAGCTTAAATGATTTGAAAAATGGACAGTCTACACCATTGTCAATTAAATATTACTGTTATTGTAAGTGATCATTACCTCCAAGCTAAGAAAAAAAAAAATTGAAGACTGCTTAAAAATAATGTTTGATATGACTATCCCACTAACAAATCCTCATATCAAGATATAATAAACTCCTTGTTAAATCATTAGATCTCCTGGCATGGCTACATTACGCAAGGCATATGGTTTGCACTGTTAATTACTATATTATTAACAACCTTGGCTTTATACTGGCATCCCTAAGCTGGCTTGTCAATGTTAGATCCAAACCACGTGGCATTAAACTGAAACATGTCCTTTTTTGATTTATAAAGCTCTACTTCAAAATAATTAAAAGTTTGTCCTTTACAACAGAAAATAAGGAAGATGATATTTTTTCCCCTTTCTTTTAAAACAAACCTATGAATATTCTACATGTGATACATAATCATTAACAGTACATTTCTTTTCATTTTTTTTTCTGCAAGTATATAAAAGCACCTTGTACTGTTTGCATGCCATCCTACAATATACTGAAAACCCTTTTTTAATAGAATGAAAATACTAAATACTCTCAACAAAATATAAAAATAAATTAACAATTACGAGTAAGAAACAATGGATGGAATAAAAACACACAGGCATTACTTTTACGTGTAATGGAAAATGAAGCTCCAGATTTTGAAACCCACTGCAAAGGAACAAAAAGATGACCAACGTTACTGAACCAAAAAAATAATGAGCTGAACCTACCCCAATGTAAAAGCTTCTTCAGCTTTGTCAAAAACTCAAAAATATCTGGATATTCCAAAAACTAAATTTGGCCCAAAAAAAAACCTAGAGCAAGGGAAAATGCACAAGAGCAGCACAATATGTAATGTGTAAAGGCTGCTAATTCAGCTTCAAAAACATCAACATATCTTCTTCACAACTAATCAAACATTTATGCTCTGCAAATTTAAATGCAAGTTATGTACATTTTACAGAAATGAAAATGTGATCATGAAAATAAAAACATTTGTTTCTTTTATAAAACAACATTTATTACATGAGTGAAGGCATAGTTCTGGAGACAGAAGCATGTCACTACTAAAACCACAGCCATAATTCCATGTGGCCTCTACAGAACATTCACACATGATGCCATCTGCCACTCTGATAATACTGTCTTAAGCATTCTGCTGGGGGAACTTTATATTGGGAAAAAATTTCAGGTACAAAGAAAATGACTTTCACAGAAGTCATAATGTGCCTCATTGTTAACACTTTGCCGTTGAGCTTACCCTCAAAATCATGTTATGCAATACCAACTTCACACTAGGCCTACAGCTTGTTCAAGTAACAAAGTGTTAATAGCTGTTGCCCTACTCTTAGAAAATTGAAGTTTCCTTCTTGGAATTGTGGACTTGTGTATTTCACGAGTTAAAATATAAGGCAGTATACAGGTCACAATATTCAAAGCAATATCAGAGGCTGTATGTCATATAAAAGTAAATTTCTGATAAGAAATTACTTGTATACTAGGTAATGGCTCTTTGATGCAAAGGCTGGAAAGAAAAGGAAATAAAAAAAATAATATAAATAATGTAAATAAATAAGTAAAGACATTATGAAAAATGGTAAGACCAAAGTAAATCAACAAAAAATATAGTTCAACATACATTTTTTTTTTTCTTTCATCATATGAAATACAAAAATTACATCAACTCAATCCCTGATTTGGTTATCTCAGGTCATTGTTGTGGGCAGGGCGAGATTCTCTGCTGACTGCTGAGCAGGGCCATATACTGCAAACCTGACCAGTCTTGCACTAGCATACACAACCTTACTTTTCTCCTGCGTGTGTTGCCACCCTGCTGAACTATCCCTGACCCCTTCTGAGGCAAGATTAAATACGAGAGAAAATACCTGTAACATTTCTCCTCTACTGCACAACATTCATCCTTTGTAATGTTCAACTTCACAATAAAAATCAAAAGTAACAATCCCATATAGAACACAATTTCATTTTTAGTACAAATGAAATAGAGTGTACCAGTTATTTTCAACTGAATACTTGGATGTTACCTTCTCCTTTTATATTAACATTTCTTATCAAACAAACTGGGTTGGTCAACATACATGTTCAAGCTTCCCAGCAACTCAGGCATGCAATCTAGTCCATACTCAGCACACCTTACACTTTTTCAGTTTTACTATCACATATACTTCGCGGCTTCTTTACCGAGAGTCTTTCATTAAATACTACAACAGTACCATCTTGACAGCGTCCTACAACAGTTCATCTTGGCTAACTCTGATCCCTGTTGCCATCTGACCTTCCAACATACATATACACCAAAACCTCTTTAACTGGTTGACAACATAAAACAGATACTTCAGAAACTTGCTCTTTCTTCAAGATGCCAATTTATTTCCTGATGATAACTTTGGTTGATTGAACAGAAAAGACTGTGAACTTCTCACTGGGTATAAAAAAATACACCAATAATGAGGTCTTACTGTATTGTACCCTTCACTACAACCCCTCTAACCATCAAGTTGTCCTTATCCGTTTGGCCTGCGGCTGGCCAAGGGCATTGTGTCGTTGGAAAATGTACTTGATCTGTGAGAGATATGTGTTGAGGTCAGACACGAAGATCAGTGGTACAACATCTGGAGCAACAGCACTACCCCAAGCTTCCATCAATGTGTTAACTTGATGCCTGCAAAGTAAAGATAAACGTGACAATAATTACTTGGAGAAACAAGAAAAAAGGAAAAAAAGAAAAAAACAAAAAAGATAAAAATAAATAAAATGGAGGGGGGTTCTTTCATGAAATACTTTACAGGAATTAATCACTATAAATGCAAGTTGTATGATGATAGAGCATCCATCACTGGCAATATGGTGTAATATCTAAGATCTGGTCAGAGGCAGAAGTACTCTTATTAACTTTAGTTGATTATAAGAAGTGTCTTGCATAAAAAAGAATAGGAAGGAATGAAAGAAAATATAAAAGAAAAAGAAAGAAAATGAAGAAGGAAAGAAGGAAGGAAAGTAGAATTATTTATTCACTATTACTCTACTAGATGATAGTACATTCACATGAAACTTCAGTAAGATGTGAGACCACCTTTTAGTAATTTTCAAGCAGATAACAAACTAATCGTAAAGAAGACGCTAGTTCACCATAATTTCAAGAACATTAGAACGAGTCTTACCAATTGGCTTTATATACAGTAACTGTCAGGACATTTTGGAACACCTCAATGCATTCAGTTAGGGTTGCTGCTGGGAAGAAATCCTTTATCACATCTTGAATAGCCACCATATTGTAATCTGAGGGGTTTTGGTGAGTGTAGGCCGTCCGGTTTATACAGAGTACAGCCTTTCCGTCAACCACCAACTGTAGGGGAGATCAGGCTGTTTTACAATGTTCGGTTCCTCCGCAGCGTTATTTGCACTATTCGCTTCATGGTTATTTAACATATGACCACCAGTCTTCACAGAAAGGAAATGCTAGAACTACATACAGGGTTCGTGCACTTATTGGAAGATCAAAATTCGGACTCTTT